CCCCCCCCGGGGGCCCGACAGACTCCCATAACGCCGACGCTCTCAGGATGCTGTCCCTTTCCCTGGGAATGCAGAGCATCAAACCTGATGCGTACTCGTCTGCTCCTCGATAAAGGTTCCTCCTCCCGAATTCCAGGACGTTTGTTCAACGCAACGTCCAAACGTCCCATAGTGCGTATGTGTATGCGTTTGTGTCTGCCAGACGCGATCGCAGGTGGTACAGCATGTACTAGCGCGCCGGCAGGTCCTTTGTGTGCACATAAACTCAAACAGTGTATCTCGCTGATCATCCAACAGCTGCGAACTGCAGTGTGACCTTGTGTGAAACCCTCAAACGCCGTCCCGCTCAAACTCCCTCCCGAATCTTTCGCTTCATGCGCACAAAGAAACCGTGGCACGCTCAGCGCGCTTCTCAAAAACAGGGGGAATTCGGCACGCAAACATCTCGTTCCTTTCCCGAGCTTTAGGCAGCGTTGCCTCGGGGTGGGTTGGAGAGGTAGTTGGAGAGCGACAGGCGGTTCGACGGATTGGCGGTAGGCGCACAAATGCGTCTCTGCTCCTCGCGAAGCCACACCCTTGCCGAGTTGTTTGTCTCCGGGAGATTCAGCTCGGAAATGGCTCGGTTCGTGGCGGCCAAGAACTGCGCGAGCGCCCTGTATACCGAACTCGTGCCCGTGATGGTGGGCAGCGTTGCGGCCCAGCTTCGTTGCACGGCCAGCCGCAGGCAAAACTCCATGGGCCAGTCCGCGTGCTCCGAGTGCTTGACGCCGCGGGCGAGCTGCACCAGCTGAGCCTGCACGGACTCAACGCTCGAGGTCTGTGGGTTCCAGGGCTGGGGCGTGGCTTGCATCATCGGAAGCGTGGCAAGAGCATGAAGGCCCGGCACCGAGGTTGAGACAAAGGATGGCTCCATAGGGGCGAGTTGGTTCATCGGCTGGGTCACCTGCTGTGCTTGGGAGAAGCTGCCGAAGCTGTATGCTTCTTGCATCGGTGGGTGACTGGCATAAGTAACACAGCCGTACGGGTCTTGGCTGGCGGCGTACTGCTGGCCAGTAAAACTCTGGGGTGCTGGGTTTGCAACATAGGCTTGCTCGCCGTACTGGCTCTGAGTGCCATAAGAAACAGGGTTGTACTGGTTTTGAGCCGCGGCGTGCTGTTGCTCAGGGGCACTCTGGACCGGGACGCCGTAACCGTACGAAGCGGTGCTGTACTGTGCTCCAGTGGCCACGTACTGTTGGTTCGAAGCGTTCTGAGCCGTTGAAATTGTTGGGGGAAAATAGCTGGCCGCCGTGGATTCTCCGCCGCCGTGGTAGGCAGTCACGTAGCCGGTCTGGTATCCGTGAGAGGCCGGGTGATGCTGCGTCTCTCCATAGCCATATTGGGCCTGGTAGTGAACAGGGTCCTCCTGGGCTGGCTCGGGGCTCATAAAAGCCGTAGGTGCCATCTGCTGGGAAGAGGCCGAGGCGCACTGGGTCTGGACGCCTTGCTGGTGTGCCGCCACGTCGTTACGGGACATCTCGGGGTACATAGAAGTTAGGGGCGGGAGGCTACAGTCGATAGGGTCAGGGACGGCTCGCAGAGGCGGTAGAGTGCTGTCAGGTAGGATGTCATCGTACTTGTTGCCCTTCTGTGAGCTGTCATGGCGGTCGACCTGACGGCCGTTGGGCATGGTGGCCAGAATCTGGGCGGCGTTCTGTGCTTGTTGAGTGACTGGTGTATTGGCAGGGCCGATATGGCTTCGTTTCCGCTGCATAATTTGGTTGTGAGGGTCGTTATTTACCTGGATCGAAGCGGCCTGGCGGCCGAGGTTCTGTGCCCAGCTATCATTGCTGGTGTGGGATCCCAGATCAGTCTGCGGGCTGGGAGTCGTGGTAGCGGAAGCTGCAGCTTCTCCCTGTCCGCGACCGTGGCCACTGCCGCGAGGAGCGCCGCCTCCTCGAGACCTGCGAGCTCTCGATCCCCCGGTGCCCCTACCCCTTGGGACGGTCCGGGAGTCCCACTCGACCGTGGTCGGGTCGAGCGCGTGTCTGACATCATTGCTCAGGCGGTCCGCGAAGGCGCACTCCCGGCACACGGAGAGCTTGCAGTCGGAGCACTTCTGGATGACGCCGCAGCGCTGGCGGTGGCACATGTCGCACTTGGCGGTCGCGACGTTGGAGGGCTCCCAGCCGTTGTGCAGCGTATGCGGTCTGGGCAGCGGAACGGAGGCGGTCGGCCGGGACTGTCCCTGGCCAGAAGGTCGTCCTGGAATTTCCGCGTTAGAGGAGTGCTCCGAGATGTCAGCATCGTCATTGCTTTGAGAGTTACCATCGCCGGGATGGTGGCCGGAGGAGGAGTTTGGGCCTCGAGTGGTCGCTGCTCCGTTGGTAACAGCGCGGGCTCGTCCGTCGGGATCCATTCTTAGGGATCGCGTTTCGTCGGCGGCAGACGAGTTTTCAGGACGCGCCGTTTGTTGCCCTTTGACACAGAGAGGGTACGTATGGTGAGTTCGTGATAGGTGGCAAACAGTAGAGGTTTGGCCTGGGTGGAATACGTGATCTGTTGCAAGGGACGGGACCTGGAGATGGGCAAGACGACGATATTTATGCCGTAGTGGGCAAGGTAGAGCTGCGTCTGTAGTGTAAGCACAGGTTATGTCCACATCGCAGGACAGAATCACCTTCCAGCACCCGGACGGGTGTGAGGGAAGGTGGGCATAAAGCGAGCCGGCAGTGTTGTGGGAGGTTCGCGGATGTTGAATGTTGCAGAATCACTTCCAGCCGGGGACGCGAGAAGGAAGACGCGAGAACAAAACAGCTACCAGGCACTCGCGGAGGAGGGGGACCAGGCGGTTCCAAGCTGTTCCAAAGACCGGGTGGTTGACTGTTGCCGGGCAGCCCAGTCCGTCTGTGAATCAAGGGCCGAATTGAACATGGGATGACAGCCCGCCAGCAAAACTCCGTCACCGCAGCTGCCATCCGGTCGCGCCAGCTGCCAGCTTTTCATTTCATTCAAGGCTAAGCGTGACCCGGTCCAACGCCGGCACCACACATGCATCCGTGGCTGAGATAGAGGGAGGGCCCTGTTGTTGCAGTCGGCCAGTCCCGAGGGCGCAACACATGAATTCGCGTGCGCGCCTCTGCCGTGTGTTCGTTCCTTGCCGGACGCACGTATAGCGGTGCGGTAACACATTGCAAACGGGATGTAAAATGACAGCGGCCGGGGAACGTCGCACTGCTGGCACGGCATATCCGGACCGGCCCGTGCATGTGTTTCGGGCAGGCCAAACGAGGTCTCGCGATGCAACATGACGTCTCCAGGCAGGACGCCTGCGGGGACGTCATCGGTTCAGCGGAAAGAATCGCTGTATGTGAGCCGCGCCTTGAAACGGGAAAACGAGGCCCGCTTGAAACCCGCGGTCCAGACGCAGCCGATTCCGAGGGTGTAGATATAGCGGTTGGCATCTGAGCTTTTAAGAATCCCATCGTCCCAGGATGTCCGTCTCATCTGCCGAGGCGGGAGCTTCTCTGTGTTCACGCGGCCAAATATTGCCTACGTGCTGCTGCCAGGCAAGGAAGATGGGACGTTTGCTTCCGCCTGGTTCAGTTCCAGAATGTCTCGTTGAAACGCGCTGCCGACTCGCCGCCTATATCGCCCGTAACGATGCGAACATCGCCTTCGAACCTGTTTCGCGCGATGGTCGTCTTCCGTTTGGACACTCGCTGCCAGTTGTCCATCCCGATGTCGCCCGTCATGATGCGCGCTTGACCCAGGGTGACGTTGTCGTATATGGAGGTCTCACCCGTGTCGGTCGCGCTGCTACCCAATCCAGGCTCTCTCGTGCCGGATGTATCGAGTGGGATCGGGCCATCAGCGTTGGAAAGTGAGCTGCCGACACCATCATCGAGCAGCTGCTGGCCGTTGGGTGTAGTACCCATCTGCGTTGCTCTGTCTCTCAGTCGGTCCATGAGGGCCAGGTTTATCCCCAGCACCTGGTTCACCCGCTCGTTCGTCTGGTCTAAGACGCCAAAGGCGACTCGAAACCCATCCTGCTGGCTCCCGATCAAGCCAACTTGGGCCACTGAAATGCGCAAGACAAGCTCATCTCTTGCTCGGTCAAGTCGGTCGAAAAGCTTGCGCAACTCAGTATCCTCCTTGCCGCCCGACTTGAGCGCATGAACAAACCGCCTACCCGAACTCCTCTGCTGTTCAGCCGCTAGTCTATCGAAGAACACCTTCGCCTCGTCCGCCACAGTCTTTATGCACCGGACCTGGTGTAGGACATTGACAGTCTGCAAGGCTTCCTCTTCCTGGACCAGGCGAAGCGACGCCTCGAGCGCATCTGTCTGGTCGGAGGCGTCTTTGAGCGTCTTTTCGGCTCCATGGACCCAGTCGCGGGCTGCTCGAAGCTCTCGAACAACTGTGACAGCGCCACCGATTAGACCGACGACGGAAGCGGATGTTGCGATGATGACCTCGGCCTAATAAACGAACTCGTTAGCGGTGATGCTGCGCTTTGCGCTTTTCAGGGCAGGGGCGTGGAGTACCATTTTGCGCCCACGACATCAGACGGCGGTCGTGATGTGGTGATTCAATGGCCACGGTGGTGATGTGCGGTTGAGGGTTTGGGGCAAGGACATTCAGTCGCTGTTGCCTAGTTACCAGATATCCTTGCTTGAGCTCCCGTGACTTCTGACCTGCATCAATTGATCAATCCATCCATCTGCGGGAGTGAAGCGCACAGCCTCATTGCCAATGCTCGCTACCAGTGGCGGAGCCACCTAGATGGCTGTTTTACTTGCGAGGACGATGAGGCCGACGAAGTACGAACATCAGCATTAGGTAGTCAATCGGCTCAAACTAGGGGCGACGAGTAGCTTGCCTCGGTAACATGAGTTTAATCGCCATTCATGGTTGGAGGACTTCATTGACTTCCATGCTGTCTACTCTCATTGACATTAGTGGCTGCTTCCCAGTGATGTTAATGACATATACTTTGCATCAGCCCTGCAAACGCTCGCCCTCCCGGTAACTTTTTGCTGCGCACTGCACGTACCCACCTGCCTTGGACATTTCGACACGACAACGGACTTGAACGCTCGCGGCATTTGCGTTGCCACTTTCCTTTGGTGAATCTTGGCGTTACCCAAGAGCCACGTGGTAAGGGCGGCCGTTGCAAACTGAGTGAGGTAGTGCAAATACAAAGGAACAACTCCCGGGTCAAATACCTTATTGATATCTGGTGCATTATCACATAGGTACTTGCCATACAAAGGTACTACCTAGGTAGTACTGGGTAGGTATCTGCCTTGGTAAGTACCTAGGTACCTAGTAGGTAGTAATAATCGCTCTGAATACAGAGATTAGATATGGTCCAACCGTGATTCGGCAGCGCCTTCCTCCATCGATGTAAAGTCCTTTAGGTAGCTACGACCGTGGTTGTATTGCCTCCTTCTCGTTTAGACTGACACTCCCGAATACAAGGCACAGAAAAACGCATACAGGTCTTCGTACGGGGTTCAACCACGGACTTTCGTTGGGAAAACTTGCCGCCTTGTTCCTCACGTTGTGTCACCCTGCCTAGACGTCCTTCACTTACTGCATGCATGTCCTGGCGGCAGCCCCTGCGCCTCGATGCAACTGCAGACGAAACGCATCTTCGCCGTCGAATGAAGCACCCACCCGGCAAAGAGTACCGGGGCGGCGTGACGCCGTCGACAACGAAGCGCCGACGACGAACAAAGGGCTAGCACAGACACAGCCTCAGCAGTCCGGATACGGAATCCGGGAGTGCGTCGTGCAGCGAGTGCCAGACATTGCTTACATGCACGTGCATGGTGAGACGGGCCCTGCCTGGGACTGGGAATACCCGGGCGCGTGCGACGGTTGGGTCACTTGGCTGGCCAAGAGGACGAGGAAGCTGACCGCATCGTCGGCAGGAGACGCACGAGCCGAGTCGACACGTCAAAGTCGGGCAGCCCAGTGCGCATCGCCACAGCAATCGTCAGCGGACTGCCCGCACCAGAAATAATCGTCTCTGCCATCTGGCATCAGGCATGATGCGGCAGGCGGACCAAGCCACAACAAAGCACGTCAGCCACGATGTTGCCGCCGTCGTCGAGCCGGTGTCATCCCTTCAGAAAGGTGCGCCCCCTGCGGAGTAGTGCGAACCAAGCTGTCGCAGGCTCGCCGCCTGCTCGCCAACAAGCCACACCCAGCCAAGCAGCTCGTCTGCGGGATCCAGGGTCCGCTAAGCCGCTTGGGGACGAAGTGGATGGCGACGGACGGGTCGCAGTGGCGGCGCATCGTCAAGGGTGGTCCCGTCCGGAATCTCGGCATCTCTGCGGCGCCTGGGACCCAGAATTTGGGGCTTGGTCGACACACTCCCGGGGCTGGCGCTCGGGCAGCTTCCAGCGGGAAGGGGTCTGGGGGCTCCATCGGCTCCATGCATGTCGCCAACGCGCGCCAGGCGAACCCCTGCCTGCCCTGTCTGCCCTGCCCATCGCTCCAGGGCCCTGGCCGGCGTCGGGGACGGCGACGATGACGGCTCGTGGTGCGCCCCGGCCTTTGAGACCGCCAAGATTGCTCATTACCGACGGAGCGAGACTTGGGGGAGCAGGTATTGACAGCGAGGCAGGGGGTCGTGGTGGGCGGACGCTGGGGGTGCTGGATCCTGATGCAGAGCGGCCAGCAACCAGCAGCCACGCATCGAAGCTCGAGAGGCGCTCGTACGGAGCCAGGACGATACAACCGCTAACTACCGCCTACGTTCGTGCTCCGGGCTTCGTGATGCTGACGCAAAGATTCAGCTCCGACTGACATTGACTTTGCCGGCCGTCACTGACCGCGCAATACCGCGCTGTGCTGGGCCGCCATCGAGCGCCACCAGGACCCTCATTCGCCATCCTCACCGACCACCATGCGGGTTCAAGCTCAGACGTCGTCGGTCGGTCGACGCAAGCCCGAGTTTGCGCCTCCAGGTGTGCGCAGCACGCCAACGCAACGAGGGCTGCGTTTGTCTCGCCCGCTCTCTGATGCAGCACGAAAAAGGGTTGCCGTGGCTGGGCATACTTTTGAGGTTGGTAGTCCAACAAGAGACACAACGCAGTGCCTCGTAGCCACGCCCGTTCTCAATGCCGCCAACTCAACGGCATCTTGGTACAGATGGGAACAGGTATCAACGGGCTGCGGGAGGTACCATAGAGCGAGCTTCTTGGAGCCCAGCCACGGCCCTGCTCCGTTTGGCATCGCTCACTTTGCGAGGCAGGTTGGGTGGTACCTTTACCTTGCACGGCAGCGGAAGCCATTTCAGCAGCCGAAACCAAAGCGGTGCCACAGCGCAGCGCGTCCCACCCCGCCGCCCACGGGCGACTGAGGTGCCCTGCGTGCCAAGGGCCATTCACTCCACTGGCGCTGGCCCTTTCCTGCACTGCCATCCGCCTACGCCCGTCCCTTTGCCGTCCCTTTGCTCGTGGTCGAATCCTCGAACAACAAAAGACCCAAGAGACCCTCTCCCGCTCCTTGGCACCCTCGCTCTCCCTTTCTCTCCTCTCTCCCCGTGCTGTCACTCCCATTCTCCCCGACCGCTCCAGATTCCACCACACACGAAGCTCCGCTAGCCAAAACTCTCCCATCACCGCCTCGCACGTCGGTTCACGTCCGCCATGGCCAGCAACGAGTATTACAACCAGGGCCCGCCGCAGGGCTACGGCCATCCCCAGGCTCCTCAGCCCGTAAGCCATCCCGCCCCGACGACCGACGGTCCAGACGCTCCTCCCTCTGGCCGTCGTTCTCCTCGTGCGCCTGCGCCGTCTCAGGAAGCATCCCATCGCTGACGCTTCGCCCGCTCGGAGCTGCAGAGCTATGGTCCCCCCCAGGGCGGCTACCAACAGGGCTATGCCCAGCCGGGCTACAACCAGGGCTACCCGCCGCAGGGCCAGCCGCCGATGCAGTACCAGCAGGCCCCTCCCCCCGACGACTCTCGCGGCAAGAAGGGCGGCAGCAACAACTGCCTGATGGCATGTATCGCCGCGCTGTGCTGTTGCTGCGTTGCCGAGGAAGCGTGCGAGTGCTGGTAAGTGTGGCCTTCGCCATCCTCCCCTCCATCGTTTTTTTGCCCCTTGTGTGGCACCGCATCCCTCTCTCGGGCAAACGCGATGCTGACTTGTGTCACCTCTCCCCCCAAACAGCATCGACTGCTGCGAGTGCTTCTTCTAAGCGACTCATTCCGAACGAACCACCCCTTATGTTCGCGGCCCAGGGGACGGGCTGAGCGCCTGGTTTCGCTTTTTTTTGTGGCACCCACGGGCACTCTGATACCCTCTCTCGTCTCTCCTTGGCCCCGACACTTCTCCGATGGGCGCGGCGCAAAGGCCGAATCGCATCACGCCGTGGACTCTGGAAGCTCCCACAGCGTGACTTAATTTAGGCTTGCGCCGCCTCGTCGAGATGTCACCGTCTTCCGATTTTCCTTTTTCTTTTACTTCACACAGACACTTCAGACTAGCTCTGCCACCGGCCCGATCAAGTAATCCACACCGTGTAATGAAAAAAACGTCGCGATGATGGGGGGATGATTGCATGCACGTTAGGTTCAGTATGTTGCGGGGAGTAGGGCAGCAGCAGCGGCAGAGCCACCGGCATCTCACAATACGGAGTCGATTCTTTTTCTCTCCTATCTTGCCTCGATACCATGCATGCAATGACAGACACAAAAATATCGGACATTGATGACTTTGCTCCTGCATCGCCTTTATCGCCTAATCAATCCGCTGCCATCTTGCCGGACCAGACCACACGCCCTTTACGAGTCCAGCTGCACGTAGTTGGCCGGGAACAAGCCCGACTGCCCATTGAAGTGGCCAAACCACCAGTCCTCATCGGGGAACTCGAGGTTCGTGATCTTGGCGTCCTCGGGGAAGCTCAGTTCTGCGTACGCGTTAGCTGCGAGCATTGAGGCCAGGCATGCAAGGTCAGACTTACCATTGTCCTCGGCCGCCTCATAGTCGTAGAGGGCCGTGGCCGTAGGACCGGCTCCAGCCGCCGGTTCGGGCTCCGGTGCTGCCGGGACCGGCGCCTGCGCCGCGACCGGTGCGGGAGGGGGCGCGGGTGCGGCAGCTTCGTGGGAGTCATCCTCGACGAGCTCGACGTAGTTGCTGGGGAACAGACCGCTCTCGCCCCTGGAGTTGGTGCCCATCCACCAGTCCTCATCCACCATGTCAATGTTGGTGACGTACTCGCCCTCGACCAGGTCGATCTCGTTGTCCTCGCCCTTTTCGTAGTCGTACTGGATCACGGCACGCTTGCCGCCCTGCTCAGCCTGCTCAACCGTGCCATGCTCTGGCTGGAACGTCTCCTGAGCCACAATGCCAGCTGCTCCCCGGGCAAGGTGAGACGATTCCTCCTGCTCTGGCAGCTCCTCTTCCTTGGGGACATCGATCTCGCTAGGGCGTACGGGAGGTGGCGCAGGACGAGCCTCAGGTTCCGGCTCAGTATCAGCACCACGGCCCACGGGGGCAGCCACGCGAATGGGTGAGTGTTCTCGCTCGTCGGGCCGGAAGTCCTCCTCCTCCTCTTCCTCCTCCTCGGCGGGAGGTGGTGGTCGGTTGGGCAACCCAGGCAGAGCAAACCCGCCCGAAGGCCTCGAACTGGCGGGCGGGGGCGGAGGCGGCGTGGCTTCGCGCTCCTGCTCCGGCTCGTACTCTTCCTCCGCAGTCTTCGCAACAGGCGGGATCGCAGGGGCGCCGATCGGGGCCGTGTCCTTGAATCGGTCTCGCAGGGCGGAGATGGGCGTGGCAGCGGGCTCCTCCTCGGCGCCTCTCGTAGCCTCGCCGATGTTGTGCTCGCTCACATTGTCCGCCCCACCGCGGCTGTAGCCAGGAGCCTGCACAGGTGCCCAGGACTTGCCAGTGTAGCCGCTCTTCCACTCGTTGCCACCACTCGTCTGCGACACGATCGGCGCCGTGGCGCCGGGCGTGGCGGCGCTCCCAACATCACCACCCCTTTCTTTTGCCTTCTTCTCCGCCCATAATTGAGCTGGCGTCTTGCCTCCCTGGTCTGCAAAAGTCCGACTAGTGGAGGTGACAGGCGCGGGTGCGGGAGCCGCGCCGCCCCCAAATCCGAGACCACCAGGTGTCGGCGCCTTGGTTCCGGTGAAGCTCGACGCTCCACCAAACTTGTTAGCAACCTTGGGCTTGGGCAGCGACGTGATGCGCTCCGACTGGCTAGGCTGAGAGAAGACGGCGGCCCGGTCCGAGACTGGCTTGGGCGCAGGAGCATCGTCCGCAGGCTCATCTGCAGGCTTCTGGGCCTTTGCACGAATAGCAGCGATATCAACCTTGCCAACGGGCTCATATGAACCCTTGACGGGGGTCGGCCGGTCATCCTCCTTGTTCTTGGCGGCCGCACGAATGGCAGCGATATCAACCTTTCCGATTGGTTGGTAGCCTCCCTTGACGACATCGGCAGCCTCTTCAGCCTGGCGGCTACCAATAACGCGCGAAGGCTCCTGCTTCTGTTTGGTGAGCTCAGCCATGTTGACCTTGGTCGGCTTGTAAGCCGACTCGACCTTTTCAATCTGAGTCCTCGTCACCGGGGGCGCATCAGCGCCCCAACCTTCCTCGTCGACGTTCTCATCTCTCCTCGATCGGGCCGCAACAAGAGGGTTGGCAGCGCGACCAGAGCTGGATGCCGTAGGGGTGAAGACAGGCTTAGACTTAACTGGGGGCGGGGCAGAGGATGAAGCACCACCGGAACTTCCAGCCGAGTACTTCGCGCCGGAAGCATCGGAAACCTTTTTCATGATCGATTCGGGCTCGAGGTCACTGTCGGAACGCGCAGTGATCTGGACGTGGTATCCGTGGAGAACCTTGGCTACGGCGGCCGTGTGGCTGGTGAAGTAGCCCTTGGTGCGCTCCGGGACGCCACCACCGCACCAGGCGATGAGGACATTCTTAGGAAGAGCCGTGTTGGGGTCCTTGACCTTGACGAAGGCGAATTGGATGCGGCCCTCGTTGAAATCCTCGATCAAGTCGGCCAGCTCGCCGTCTGCGTGCGGGGGGTCAGCACACGCACAATAATGTCAGCAGCTGGGACTAATGAGCAGTTGCGTACCGCCTGTGCTCTCGACCTTGAGGATACTCTCCTTGGCGGCGCTATCTTGGAAAGCGCTGACGAGCGGTGCCTGAACGGAGAAGAGCGCCCATTGAGCGTACGTGGGCGAGCCAGATGCTGGAGGCTGGCCGTTGACGACGCCGGCGTAGCTGCTCTTTATCGACGGCCCATTGATGGAAAGGTTCAACGACGCCATGGCAAATGGCGAGGCGAGGTAGGATCTGTACCGGACGTGGTGACGGCGTCGGCGGCAGTCGAATGGGGGGCGAGGCGGCGTTGTCTGTCTGCTTCCTGTGAGCTGCGCCTCCTGGAATCAACACTGGTCGCAGCTTGCGTACGGGAGCTAGCGGCGTGCTCGCGAGCTTCTCCTCCGAGATCTTTGCGAAGCAGAAGAAGGGAAAGAAGCCCGAATATAGCTGTGATCAAAGCGCTGCGACAGAGCAGAGAAGATGGTGTGTGTTGGACACGCGGCGGACCCAGACGTGGTGCGTGAGGCGGGCGAGTACGGGGAAACTGAGGTAAGCTGAGCTCTGGGTTGGCGACGACGTTGACGTTGACGTTGCTGAGGTTGGCTGGGCTGGTGCTGCTAGCGCAGGCGGGGCGGGGTGACGGGGTCGCCGGCGCAGCCCAGGGGCTTACGCGCGTAACAGGTGACATCCTTGGCGAGGCTGTGTCTCGTTAGGCCATCATCAGCGGCCGTTCCCCTCCTCATGCCGCCCGGGACGGGTTCCATGCTGTGCCTGAGGAGCTGGCGCAGGACCTGGCAGCCCCGCCAGCTCCTGTCGAGACCTCACGTCACTGGTGGCCCCGCTGTCTCGGTCTTGGGGCTCTGGGCAGCGCAGGCAACCTAGGTAGGTACCCAGCCCTCTGGGCTGAGGTGCTGGAGGGCAGGTTGGCCAGCGCCTGGGCACCACCTGCACCCGGGCGGGCAGTCCCTCCAGGGCCCTAACGAGCTGCCTGGGGGCGGTTCGATCCCTGCCCGCACTGGGAATGGATTGATTGGGCTGGAACCGCTGGGCGACGCCCGCCTGCCCCTCCACCAATGCCCGACAGCCAAAATGACGCAAGGCTGAGGTTGCCAGCGGTTGGCTGCCAAATGCTGTGTAATGCCCCTCGTCTGTGCCGACTCTCGGGGCCGGCCTGCGCTGGTGGCGTGCGTTGTCGCAACTTCGAATTGCCCCGCCGAAATTCTGTCTGCCAACACCACGACGTGAATCTTCATCCCACCCCGCTCCATCGCGCAATCAGCATACGGAACGATACCCTGACGCCGTATACACCATGTCTACGATCACCGAGGTCACCAGCCAGTCCCAGTGGGAGCAGCTGCTGGGCTCCGTGCCCCCGTCAGCCCTCGTCATCATCTCCTTCCATGCGCCATGGGCAGCCCCGTGCGCGCAAATGGCGACTGTCCTGTCGACCCTGGCCTCCGAATATCCCGTCACCGAGCCCCCGAGCACCGTATGGGCCTCCGTCAACGCCGAAGACCTCAGCGACATCAGCGAGACCTACGACGTCACCGCCGTTCCCTTCCTCGTCCTGTTGAGAAACGGCAAGGTTGTCGAGACGGTCAGTGGCAGCAGCGCCGTCAAGGTGCGGACGGCCATCGAGACACATGCACGGGCCGATGCCAACACAACGGCGGGCGGTGACGCCATGAATGGCGTTGAGAAGACCGGCGGCAAGCCCGTCGTGGAGGAGGCGCCCGTAGACCCTGTCAAGCAAAAGGAGGAGCTTTTCAAGCGGTTGGGAGACCTGGTCAAGGCGGCACCTGTCATGCTGTTCATGAAGGGAACGCCCAGCTCCCCGCAGTGCGGTTTCTCGCGGCAGCTGGTGGGAATTCTGCGAGAGCATTCGGTCAAGTACGGTTTCTTCAACATCCTGGCCGACGACGAGGTTCGCCAGGGCTTGAAGGAGTTTGCAGACTGGCCAACCTACCCGCAGCTCTGGGTCGATGGCGAGCTGGTTGGTGGGCTGGATATTGTAAGTGTTACGCCATGTGAGTACCCTCGATTCTGGCTGACCCAAGCGTCAGATCAAGGAGGAGTTGGGTAACGACGAGGATTTTTTCAAGCCGTACAGTGTCAGCGGCCCTAACGATGCTGCGGTGGCATGAGCCGGCTCTCTACGGTCGCAAGATATACGCGATGCTCCTCTCGCATGAGGCACACGGTGGCCCTGACTACGTCTGCTTGGGAGGAGGGATAATTCCGCCTCAAGGCGACGAGAAAGGACTGGAGTGCGGCATCGTCTCCAGCCGACGACAGAAGATGCCTGCGTGGAGTGCGAGTTTTGTTGAGCTGGATAATGAGGCCGCGGAACCGCGGGGTTTCTATTGCGGGCTGTGGGTGTTATCCGCTGGAACGGGAAGCAAGTGCGGCCAAAGCATAGACCGGAGCGCCAGATGCTACACCGTGACGCGGTTTGGATGGGAGATAAAACGGCAGCGACAGAGTGGGCTGCATGCTTTCGCGCGGGCGTTATTGTGAAGGCCTTGGCCCGCTGCGCAGGATCGTGAAATCTGGTTCAAAAAGAATACAGCATACTTTGACATTTCAAGGCAACTGTAAGCCCGTCGTTGTTGAGCCGGTACATGTATACCTACTGCCTACCTATCCCTGCCCGCAGCCGCCCGAACTCGATGTCTGTCTAGGTCCGGCACTTGCCGCGAAATTCGGCAGCGGTAAGCCCAACAGAGCAGAACTGGCCATTGGGAGTTGATGCGGCCGGCTGACAAATGGGGACCCCGACACAGCATCCTTCCAGGGATGCTTGTTCGCCCTGGCAGGCCCATCCCTCGCTGTGGCGCTTGGTGCACGCAGTGTTAGTGCGGCAGGTGTGACTCACAGCAGAGCCGTGATCGACTGTCTTGCCCGCGTACGACGCTGCAGCCTTGGACGTCTGGTGTCCCTTCCCAGCGTCCCAGCCCGTCCGCATCGCACTGCCGTGGGCCGTTATTGGAGGAAAGCCGTGGGCCTGGCAGCAGAAAGAAACCGCGCAGGCAGGGTCGCTTCCCTCGCAGGGCGGGCTGCAAGATGAACGCAACGTGTAGGGTAGCGGCGTCTTCAACTGACCCGACGCTGAAGACGCGGACAGATCTGTATGGCTCTGCGAGGTGGCGAGACCCAGGCGGTGTGTCAAACACAGGCTGAGAACAAGATGTATTCAGAATTGCTGTAATGACAGAGACGCGCCAGCCAGAAGACAGAGATGGATATCCAAGCCATCGCCCTTGGCGTGCATGCTCAGCCCAGGGACGACGAACGTAGCGTCGCGGCCACCATGGCGGAGATGGGACGACCAATTTAACCGTTCAAGAAATCGTCGAGGCGTCGGGGTTTGGGCGCATACAGCTCCGATGGGTCCGTGGACGTGGTCGCTGCACTCTCTCGCGGGCCACGCAACCCCAACGGCGCAACGGCCAAGCCGGGCAGCTCAAGGCGTGGCAATCGCCGGCGATCTTGAAGGGGGCTCTCCCACTCGCTCGCGTCTCCGCATTGGAACTCTCCCCAACCTTACTGCAATCATCCGCTGTAATTCTCTACTGCAGGCAGCTGAGCGGGCGTCGCCAGGCCAGGGACCCCACATCACCAGCCGACGCACGCAGCTAAAAAGTGTCGCTGACGTCTTGCTCTGAACGTCCCTTCCCGCCTCTCGTCTTATCCGTCCCTTCCTTGTTCCTCTTCTCCCTCCCAAAATCCTGCTCTTCCTTTCCCCTCAATCCGAGAAGCCCTCGCCTAGGCACTCATAGTCGATTGCGCCCCTGCGCCAGCGTGACGCGCGTTCGACTGCTGGACGCTGCCATTTACACCGGGGTACGAAGTACGCACATCCCACTTCGCGCCTACCAGCACTCCAAACTCCGAACGCGGTCCTCCCGCTTCAAAGCGCCGCGACGACGCTCCGCACGTACGGTTCACGCCGCCTGCCATTCGACTACGGCGGGATTTGCCGCGTCAGGGCGATCAAGTCTACTGTGAGGCCCTCCCGGATCGCCCCTCAACGAGGCGCATCTGGTCAACGAGGGGCGGCGCAACCGTCAACGCCACAGCTACCTAGTCGGACCGTTGAAGGCGCGAAGGAATATCGAGGCCCGCGCCGCCGAACCACGACATTGAGCATCACAAAAACCATCCTTTCTTCGCGCCTACTCTCCGCGGCATAGTCTCCGCATCTTGGTCATTCTTTCCGGCCGACGCTGTCGCAGTTATCCGTGACGCTGTCGTGGGCCGGAGACGTCGACTCCTCGAAACCTTAACTCCGAAGCGACCAAACCGCCAAAAAAGCCCCGGCAAATCACCTGGTCACCGCCCAGAAGCGGCTCGTCTCAGCGACAATGACGCCCACACCACCTTCAACGAATTCGTCCACTGGCGGACGTTCACCTGAGGAGCAGTTCCGCGTTGTGAGGAGGAGAAATCGCGTGCCCCTCAGCTGCTATCCCTGCCGGACGAGAAAGTGAGCACCAGCTGTTGTCCCATTGCCCGTGATCGCCTTGCTAACCCGCCTGCAGGCTGTAAGATTTCAAGCCCGCCAGATTCCGCTTCCTAGTGGCTCTCTAACAAGGACACAGGAAATGCGATCGAAACCACCCATGCAGCAACTGCACCAAGAGGGAGGGCAATGACACCACGTCGTGCTCCTACGCAACGCCTTCATCCCGAAAAAAGAGCCAGACTCAAGCAGACTCGAGTCCGGACGACATGCAAAATCGCATTGACCGTCTCGAAGGCCTAGTTTTGTCATTGATGCACAATGGTGGCAACGTCGATCCCGAGTCCGCCGCTCGTGCAAGCGAGTCCATCTCTCACTCAACAACTGACAGCGCCTCGTCCGCCAAAGCTGGTCGCGAGGAGGCGGCCATGATGGACGAAGACAGTGACGTGGACGACAGCCTCGCGACGTCCCTGGGCGTACTCAAAGTTGATAGCGACAAGGGCAAGTCTATGTATATCGGACAAGAGCATTGGCATCTGATCCTCGCAGACATTGCTGAGGTGAAAAATTACTTCACAAACCACAAAAAGGAACTGGAAACGAGCTACGAGCGGGTCAGGTCTTCCAAACCCGTCACCGCCCGCGAGGGACCGACGCTGCTGCTTGGCGCTGTTCCTGCCTCGGAACTCGAGCTGCGCGCCGAGCTGCCCCCCAAGTCGAGTGTCCTTGCACTCTGCAGCCGCTATTTCAATTCCATGGATAACGCAGTAAGCATCATACATGGGCCGACTTTCCTGCAACAGCTCCGCACGCACTGGCAAGATCCGTCAAAGACGCCGATCATGTGGTTAGGCCTCCTTTACTCGGTTCTCTGCCTCGCGATGCTGAGTTATCACAAAGTTGGGGATGAGCCCCCAGAGTGGAAGGGGCGCACACTGGAGCTTGCGGACGAGTACCGCTTGCGGACCGTCCAGTGCCTCATCAAGGCTGACTACACCAAGCCGGTCGAGTACACCGTCGAGACTATGATTCTATACGTCTTTGGCGAGTACTCGTCGAGATGGGATGCTGATTTGGGCTTGTGGTTGATTGTATCCCTAATCACGCGGATAGCCTTCCGGATGGGGTACCATCGCGACGCGAAGTGGTTCCCGTCGCTGACGCCATTTCAAGCTGTACGTCTCCGTGACCCGGAATGTTTCTAACATTCAATGCTAATCCAAGCCGCAGGAAATGAGGCGACGGACGTGGGCGCTGGTTCGCATGTCAGACGTCATCTTTTCACACCAAGTATCGCTACCGAGTATGATTTACGAACACGACTGCGACACGCAGCTGCCGAACAACATCTTTGACGACGAGTTCCATCCGGGGATCAAAGAGCTGCCACCTTCCAGGCCCATAACAGAGGCGACGCCGATCTCGTACATGATTGCCAAGGCCAAGCTTTGCAACGAACTCGGCAACATTCTCCAGGCCACCAACAGGGTGGGCAGGAGCGTTCCCTATGACGAGATCATCCGGTTCGACGCGAAACTCCGCCAGGTGATGCAGGAGCTTCCTCCTCACCTCAAGCTTGGGCCCCTCGAGGGTGCGCGTGAGCCTGTCACGCTCATTATCGCGCGGTTCAATGTGGACATTTTGTACCAAAAGATTCTGTGCCTGCTCCATCGCAAGTACATTTCCAAGGCGCGACAGAACCCGCGGTACGCACATTCGCGCCGCAGTGCGGTCGAGGCGTCTCTGCAGGCAATGGGGCATTTGCAAATGCTTCGCCGTGAGTCTCAGGGCAACGGGCGGCTGAAAGCCGTGAGCTGGTACGTCAAGTCGATCGCGACAAAGGAATTCGTGCTGCCGGCCATGCTTATCGTGCTTGATCTGCACTACGACAACATGGCACGTCATGCGGGCACTTGCGAGAGCCACGAGGGCGCATTTCTCTGGAGTTCCGAGGAGCGGGCCAACATGATAGGCACGTTGGAAGACGCCGTGTCCATCTGGAAAGGGCTTGCAGACACGTCGATGGAGGCTTTCAAGGCCTCAAAGGTTATCGAGATCATGCTTCAAAAGATCAAAGAGCCCGCGCCGAGCGACAGCACGTCAATACCTTCTCGAACCGATTCCTTGTCGACGTTGGAGTCAAGCATGGGCATGGATCAGACGCCCGCCATGGGCCCAGGTTTAGTGCCCACAGACGGCTTCCCCGACTTCAACACCGGCTTAAGCCCGTTCTCGAATACCAACAGCAGCGCCTTCATGGGGATGGAGTTTAGCCTGCCGCCGCCGAACCTCGTCGACATGCAGACGGATGGATTTAATCCTGTCGGCGCAGCCTCTCCCATGTCCATGTTCACCAATTTTGGCAGCGGTTCGGGCACGGGGCCGGACTTGACGGCAAACTTTGACTGGGTAAACATATCGAGAACGAGCGCAAAGGATCATTACTGACGGATGCTACAGGGCGCCTTTGAGAACTACACACAGATGGCCAACTGGGGCGCCGACCAGAGCTTCCAAATATACGGTGCCGAGGATCAGTCGCCAGGACAGGGATCTGGATCCGGAAGCATGAGTATGCAGTAACCCAGTGGGTAGACGAGGGACGACTCATGTACTTGTAAATGTCAAGGTTCGGGAGAGGGAAGTTGGGGGATTGACTTATCTGGGGGTCGATACCATATTACTGGCATTTAAAAGGTGTTTGGGTTTTGCACCTCTCCGCCCATGAATACACACTGTCGCTTTGCAGGAACAGGTACTGGTAGAATCGATGCCGCGCCGTGGGCACATGCGGAGAGCGAGATTGTGTGGTGCACTGCATGCGCCGCACGCACAGTGACGTCGGGGCGCTTAGTCACCGCCGACCCACTCAATTTTCAGCGACACCATCTCCGTACATTCTGGAGACGCGACCTGACGGCTTCACCACCCCTACACACCCAATTCCACCCCCATTGCACGCCACCTGGTCGTGGAGCAACTGCGGGCCGCGAGGATGGAAGACGATATCGATGGCCTCCCTCCGACAAAGAGGAAGTCGTCTGCGTCTTGCGCCGCGGCGGCCGGGACTAGCTCGAAGAGACTCAAGCTCGCTCAAGCTGGCCTCGCACTGCGCGCCGAAGCTCCCCCAGACGTGGCCCATCATCTCCCAGCGGAGATATGGCACCGAGTATTCACCTTCTTGCCTCCTAAATCTCTCGGCAGCTTGTTGCGCGTCAACAAGCTGTTTCGCGGCTATCTTGGCCCCCGCTCCGGCGGCGAGGTCAACATGGCTCCCGCACACACTGCACGCTCCCCTGCACTGTCCCCAATGAAGCCCGATGCCATCTGGCGAGCCTCACGACGCTTCTTCTGGCCGCAGATGCCGGGCCCGCTGCAAGGCAAGTCGGAGGTCGACATGTGGCGCCTATGCTGTGCGCGGAGCTGTCAGCTCTGCGGCTTCCGCGACACCTGCGGTGATGCAGCCAAGGCGCAGGACCAGTGGCATCGCGGGCCAGGCGCCAAGGGCGTCGTCCCTGTATTCCCCCTATCCATGGCCTTGTGCGGCAGCTGCCTCGTCGAGCGTACTGTCAAGGTATGTCCTATCCAGCGGTGACCGCGGCGCTCATCTTCAGGACTGTTTGGCTAATCTGTGTCCAGGAGATTGATGTCTTCCTTTCCAACACGACGCCGTCCTTTCTCGTGACCGGCCTCCCGATGGTTTTCATAACCGCCAAGATGCATGTGATAGCACCTCAAGTACTCTCCGTCGTAACGAGCCCTGGCAAGACGCAAATCACAAAGGTCTTTCTTGGTGCTCACGTTGAAGAGATTCGACTCGAATTCGAAACAGTCAAGGGTCTGGGCCGCGCTGCCGCGGAAGAATGGGTCAAGGGCCTTGACGCTCGCGGGAAGAAGCTGCTTGTCGACGCTTCGCGCTGGGAGAGGTGGTTCCTCTCCGGTGGTGTGCAAGAGATGCGTACGACGCGGCCCACTGCGCAAGTCAGCGTTGTCGACACAGCGGCTGTTCCCCCAAAGCGAGTCGCCGAGAAGCCAAACAATGGGCACATACCGCATCCACCACCGTTGAGTGGCCAAGGTGCAGTTGACCGCGGCGTGGCTATTGTTCCATCTGTCGCAGGCGGCCATGAATTCTGGAAAAGCGCGGGTCGTCAGAAAGCCGAAGGGGCGGCAGCAGCTCTTGACTGGCAGTCGCGGCATCCTGTCACACAGCTCCCGACTGGAGAAGCGGCTGGGGAGCCTGAAATCCGGCGCGGGGCGGAAATAGAGCGACGAGCGTCATCTGTTGACTTGTCTATCGCACCGGAACCTCGGGTCCTCCCTCCCACCGCAGATTTCGCTACGCAAAGACCCCAAGCTCTGGATGAAGAGGCCTCGCAGATGCTGAAGGAGAGACCGGCAAGAGATGGCAACACAAATAATCGACTTCCGGAGAACAGGGCTAAGGAAATCAAGCTGACAGACATCCCTGCTGGGTCTGCTCCTCGGGAAGTGACTGACAAGGACTGGGACGACGCACAAGGGCCTCTTCGCGCGAGTATATCTGACCTTGCAGACGAGCTCATCCGCGACAAATGGAGTGACGGGGATAGAGTTTCAAAGAAGGAAGCATCTCAGTTTGCCGCGGACGTGTTGCTATACGTCCGCAAAAGGTTCTACGCCCAAATTGCGGAGAAGGCGGCAGCTCGACGAGCCGCCGGGAAACAGCCCATCGTTGAACCCCCCGAGGGGCCCTGGACTCAGAAACTCACGCTCGAAAATATGAAGTGGGTTTTTGACATGAAGATCAAGCAGCACACGGACCGGCATCGCAAGGAGCTATTTGTTTGCAATGTCTGCCAAGGCCCTCGCAAGCTGTTTGGGCTCGAGTCGGTCATCCAGCACTATGCCGCAAAGCACACGACGGCTCTGAGCGTGGGTAATGTCGTGGTGCATTGGAGAGCTGAGTGGCCCGAGACGCCAATCTTTGATCCGGACCCAAAACAAAAGCGACCCAAAGCAGCCCCCGGCAGCTCGCAGGCGCCTCCAGCGATGGCTCCGGTATCGCACGGTCTCAATGGGGTGCCTGCTCTGCCACCGGCGCCGTATCCGCCGCCTGGAGTTCTTGATTCAACATATGGCTATGGACTTCCCACTCAATCACCAATGCACATGGCCTATTTTCCGGGAATGGGCCTGCCTGCGGTATCGTATCCTGGACAGGATACACCAGCACCATGCCATCCAACGACGACGCCTGCGTGGAGTCAATATGGTATATCCCATCCACCGCCTCCAGCACAGCCGATTGCCAGCGGCGGCGATGGCACGTCAAGCAGTGGCATCGATGATGATCGTCGGGCTGTAAAGCCGGCGGCATTGACGAACAAAAAGAGCAATCAAGACCGTGCGAAGAAACTCAACTTTGCTTCCAAGGCTGCGCAGGCGGCCTGGAAGCAAGTCCTGAATGAGTCCCGCGAGTCTTCCGATGCAGAAAGGGCAGTGTGGTTCATGAACCATGTCGCCGACAAGTATGAGATGGAGTTTGGGCCAATGTCTTTGGATGTCTTCAAGGATGCCTTGATGAATCGCAGAGGCTTTCGGCCGGCTCGCGAGCTCGCCCGTATGGGCTGCAAGGCCTGCCAAGTTGGCCGCAATTTTGGTGACAAGCCGAGATATTTCCGCTTCCCTGAGCTGCTGGACCACTTCAAAACACTGCACGACGGCATGCGGCACATGGACGGTAGCGACCGTCGATTAAATTGGCGTGACGACATGGTATTGTCACAAGAAACGATAACCGTTTATGGCCAGGAGGAAGAATCTAACGCTGCAGTGGAGCACCTGGAACTCGAAGGAAAGTATATGGAGCGAGAAAAGCCCGGAGAGACGAAAGCAGCCCACCCGCAACGCGACGGGTCGAGCTCGGACAGCTATGAGCCCGAGTATGACCCGGAGGATATACCAATTAATACAGAGCCACCAGTCCAGATGGCCAGCGGACGTCCTCTCAGCGATACCGCTGTAGACCACGCCGTTGCCGATGTGCCGAATCTTCGGCCTGCCAGTGCGGTGTACAGATCCAACCAGCCGCCTCGGAACGCGAATGGATCAAAGCATCGCCGTGGACGAGCTGCGGACCAAAATGCCGGGAGGCCCGAGCCCGGAGTGTGGGACGAGCGGAACCGGCGGGAGCCTGTGCCAGCAACACCTGCACGAATAGACGAAGATGGGTTTGAGATATTGGGTAGCCTCCAGTCACGTCTTGGTGTCGAGCGCCGTGTGCCGACGGCTGTTGGGGTGCCTGCGCGAGACGGGAGGCGCGAGGCCCTCACCCACGACATCCCTCCGCGGGGTGAATACATCGTCGAGCACGAATACGCACCGCAACACCCCCATGACGGCGGCCCTCTTCGCATCGCCAGGACGAACCACTACGCGGAACAGTGGCACCCAGAGCCCAGCCGAACGGTGGCGTACCACTCCCCTGCGTACTACTCGAGCGGCGAACCTGTCCCCTATCGCGGCTACGCGGACGATCCTCGCGCCCAGCCGGTGCAAGCACACGGCCCCCCGGAGGCGTACGAGATCGTCGAGGTGCGCGACCCGCAGGGCGACTACCTCATCCGGCGGCCGATTCGGCTCGAGACCGTGCCGCCGCTGGCGTACTACGCGCACGAGGGCGTCGCTTATGTGGAGCGTGGCGGCGCGCGGCAAGGGACCGTCTTCGACGACTCCTACCACCGCTACCCGCAACACCACCATGGCCCGCCGCCGTCCACGCATGCGCCGCAGGGGGCCCGCCCGCAGCGCCCGCCGTCGAGGATGGACCTGGAGGAGTACGATCCCCGGTTCCCCGCGCCTACGGCCCCTGCTGCCGGCGGGGTCACCAGCGGCGTGTGGCATGAACCTAGCAGGGGAGTTTGACGTATCCGCATGTGAGGTGGATCAGGAAGGGCTCGGGAACAGGCTTTTGGGAATGTGAGAGGGCATTCACATATATCATATGTGCTGGAATTTAGGCGCATCGGCGTAGTCAAGGCGTCTTTGGTATGACCACGGAGGTTGGCCGGCCCCTTAACTAGATACCAACGTGGCGGCGACGCACGCATGCAAATGTAGGGAGCACGAGTACAAAAAAGTAGTCTTTGATCATAGGAGGCGAGACGTCGCGACGAGTCGAGTGATGTTTTAACACAAGATCCCTCCCTCCCCTGGTCCTCCTCGATTCACTGTTTCCTGATCACCACCCTCATACAGAGGCCCAGAGCGCCGTGGACGCTATAACCATCCGTCCCACCGCTGTCCCTTTTGCGAGGCCCTGCCTCCTCCTCCCAACCGTGATTGTACACACAAAGAATAAATGCGACAGAACCAGCTTACATACTCCCGCCTGGCGGGAGAGAGAAGTAGTAGACACGAGCTCTTCCCGCGGCATCGACGCTGCCCGTCCCCGGGCCCTCCCCTCCGCACTCACTCTGCCGTCTATCTCTCTATCACACACACGCGCCCGGCTGGCGCACTCTTGGTTTAGTTCTTCTACCCGTCCACCATTTCTATTGCCACTCCCAAATGCTCAACGATGACACGGGGAGGGCGCAAACATGGCGACAGAAAGCAGAGGGGAGGTGGTGAGGTGGAAAAGGGCGTTTATAAGACCTCACCGATGATCTTGGCGGCCTCGCGGTACGTCTGCAGGAGTCTCTCGCACTTCTCGCGCTCCTTCTTGACTCCGTCATCTTCGTACAGTAGCTCTTCGAACAGGGCCTCCTTGTACAGCTCGCTGACGAGTCGGTTCTGGACCACGTCCTTGGAGTGGTTGACGAGCAGGTGCATCACGGCCTTGGGGACCTGGTCGGCGATGGACTCGCGGACGATGTTGAAGTATGATGAGATGAGGGCTCGGATGAGCTCCGTCTCCATGGCCTCGCGGTCCGTCATGGCGGGTTCATTGGACTCTCCCTGCGATGGTGTTAGCATAAGACTTTATGTGTGGCCAAACAAAGGTCCGCCGGAAGACGACGTACCAGGTGTGATGCCAGTCCGTAACTCCGTCCTGTAGGATCGTACTCGTCGTCTCGCGACGGCGGTGGGCGCATCGCGAGCCTCTCTTCCCTGCGCACAGTCTGGGGAAAGCCGGTCTCTGAGTTGTGGCTGACGTGCCGGTGGCTTCCCATCGGCTGGGGTGAGGGCAGAGCAGCAGGAGAAATGCCCTCCTTTCCGAAGAAGTAGTTGAGGAACGTGTCTCGTGCTCCACCCAGGCCTTGCTGGCCATTGAGCCGAGACGGAGACTGTGAGCGAACACCGTTCAGGGCAGCAGCTATGCTGCCATGAGCGTTCTCGTTCACCGCCGGTGACAAGCTGCGGGCAGACTTTCCACCATGCTTGCGCCCACTAACATCATTCTTCTCCGCGACAACGCCGTCCTCGCCGTCTTCAGTTGGCTCAACACCGTTCGGGCCAAGCTCCTTAAGACGTCGCTTCTCGCGGCGCTCGCGCTCCTCCTGAATCAGTCTCTTGCGCTCCCGCTCCTGCTTAGCGCTTACGACGTTGCTCATGGCAGCAGCAGCGCCCAGGAAGTTGGGATGGTTGGTGTTGATGTAGGCGCGCTGAATGGAGATCAGAGACTCCACATACGAGGAGCACGGGCCCAGCCTCTCCCGCAACAGATCCGATACCGTCTCGATGAGCCTGGCTTGTAGCCTGGGAAACCTGGAGAGCTCTGTGGACCCGCAGGTGTGGCAAATCTTGATGAGCTCCTCGTACACGAGCTCGACGCAGCGCTGGCTGGGGATCTCGAGGAGCTTGATCTGAGGCTTGACAAGAAGGTCGAACGCCATCTCAGGGACAAAGAGACTTGGTCGGGGACCCGTCGAGTTGCGGATAGCCGTGCGGATGTCGAGCGCCGTCAGGTTGGAGGTGGGGTCAATGGATTCGAGAGAGCTACCAAAGACAGAGTTGAAGATGTAATAGATGCGGGCACCACCGCAAAGCTCCTTGGTGGAGATTTCGGCCGAGGTACCGTCAATGGAAGAGATGAAGGAGGTTGCAAACCGGGTCATTTGCTGCAGAATGAGGGAGCCACGGTGCTCCTTGCCGCTGAAGTGCATGTCGCCATAGCTGGCGAGCTCTTGTTGAGTCTGGCCCATCAGCGTGTTCAACCGAGCCTTGATATCGGGAAGGCGGTCCCTGATGTGGGACATGAGGGTTGTGTTGAGCGTCTTTGCCAAGAACTGGGTACCGCAACGAGTGGAGATGTTTCTATACGCAGGATGATGCTTGAAAAAGTCGACCTCGGCCTGCAGGGCCTCCTCCATGGGCTTATTACCCTGGATATCCTGCTGCGACCGGTTGACGACACCGATGAAGCCCAGCTTGAGAGGATACACCCGGCCGGAGAGGATGTCGAGGGCGTTGGTGCCATGGTCCATGAGGTCGAGCTTGGTCAGGACACCGATGGTGCGCCTGCCGAGCGGGTCGACATGGCGGGCAAGCTTGAGGGCCTCTGAGTTGACAATGTCGACGTTTGCGGGCGAGACGGCAAGGATCAGACTGTTGGGCTTGGCAATATATTCAGAGATGAGATTTCGCGTCTGCTTTTCGATATCGGTGGGCTGGTCGCCGATGGGGACCTGTAGCGTCGCGTCGAGTTAGAGAGGGTTGCGAAAAGCATCGTCGTGGGCCAGAGCCTACCTTTGTCAAGCCTGGGAGATCGACCAGGGTCAGGTTCAAGACAAAGGGAGAGTAGATCTTGAGGTTGATGGGCTGGCGGTTGATGCCCTTGTTGTTGCCGGCAACGCGTGCCGTCTCGTTCTCAATCTCCCGCTTGACGTCGGAGAAGTCGGTGAAGCGGCGGTTGGGAATGTGGTGGAACTCTGCCCACTCGGAGCGGCGCGCCGCGGCGGGCGATCGGTAAGGGTCGCCGGACGGATCCGGGGCGTTGTCATCCTCGGGGACGTTGATGAGCTGGAGGATCAGGGGCCGCCGTGTAACGATGCCGCTGCCGCGGGGCAGAAAGTCGCGACCGACAATGTTTTCGAGGACCGAGGACTTGCCGGAACTCTGGGATCCGACGACAACCTAGAAGACGGCATGAGCTTTACGAGGACGGGAGTGGGAAGGAAAAGCGGTAGGGCGTACAATTTGGGGCAGATCGAGCGAGTCGTTGCCGATGGTGTTGAAGACGAGATCCTGCAGCTTGTTGACGGTGCTGAGCAGGTCGTCGCCGAGGGCAGCCATGGCGACGAGGGGGGCGACAAAAGTCGGCGCGGCGCAAAACAAGAGAGGGCAAGGCTATGGGAATGGAAAGCAAAAGCCGAACCGGGGATGGCGATGCGAGCTCTCACGCGGGCGCGCGGTCGAGAATCTGCGCGGCGCGTCTAGCTGCCAGATTGGGGGCGGGCAGGCAGGTAGTGAGGCTTCGGCTTATGGTGTTGGTGGTGGTGGTGGTGATGATGATGTCTGTGCTGGCAGGCGCTTTCGCGGCGCGGGTTTGGGCCTTGGTTCACGTGTGGAGCAGCGGCCGCCGCCCTGGCTTCCTGTTCTTTCCTCGACTCGCTGCCGATGGGTTGCTGCTGCTGCTGCGACTAGCACCAGTATTGCTGGCAGGGCTACCTTACCTAGGGTGCCTGCTGTCGCTGGGCTGCTGGACGTCTCGGCACAGCCAATTCTGGAGGTACCTTGCCCTCGGGCCGCCGGTGCCTTGGTACTTGAGCGCCTCCTGCGTAGGCACACGCGCCCGCGTAATTTTATGCACAGGCCCACGCAAGCACACACGACAACCTTCAGGTTGTGCAGCGCGCGCGCAGAGGCGATGTGGCGCGGCGGGGGGCACTAGCCACATAGTCTCACGCCTCCGGTCCTAGTCGCGCCACTTCATCGCGATTCTTCCCTCGCGCCCCGATCCGACATTTCCCTGCACCCAGTCGACCAGACCAGATACTATGCGCAAGCCGCGGACATGAGCACCTTTGGCAGCCCAGGAAAGCTGCCGTCGACGAGGCCGACGCCGTGAGTCGTACTGAACGCTGATGGAGCGAGCCGCGTCGCAGCACTCACTGATTGACCGCACCGCACAGGCCGCAACGTGGAAGCTTCCCGCTGGACCACGATGGTCAGTCGCCACGGCATGAGCTGTCGCCGCAGAGCGGGCAGAGCTGACGCGACAGACTTCTAGGCGAGTGCAAGCATGTCATGACCGAGTACCTGGCGTGCATGAAAAAGGTGCGCGGGCTCAACGACAACGAGTGCAGAGACCTGGCCAAGGCCTATCTCTCATGCAGGATGGACCGGTAAGGCGGCATGCCGCCGTTGAGACTCCTGTCTGGGCAGCAACCAGCGCTGACACCCGATTTCTTTTACTCCCAACCAGGAACCTCATGGCCAGGGACGAGCTCAAGAACCTGGGTTTTGCGGAGCAGCAAAAGGCCCCGCCGGCCGACAAGCCCGCAGAGGCCGAAAAGGGCGTCAAAGGCGAGTTGAGGTGGTGAGTTGGTGAGAGTGAGTCTCAGTTGTTGTGCGTCTGAGCGGGCCAACGATCCGCACGCTCCCGCGGCAACGGCAGGAAAGAAACTCTATCGTATACTGTACAATAGTGGGATACCTGTGTATTATAGCATGTACTTGTATGTATTGATGAAAGCAAACCGGCGGTGTCGCGTGCGAAGCCAGGGCAGAATTGATGCCAACCGCTGCCAGGATCCAATGATGCGGGTGTGTCGCCCACCGGCCTGGATCCAGCCCCTGCAGCCCCCTGCCGCCCACTGGCCGACTGCCGCGTTGCCCCGTCAACCCGCCCGGCAACAGCTCTGGGGTGCACCATCGCCGGTGAATCGGGACAGGTTCCAGGGTTCCAGGGTTACCCGCTGCTACAAAACCACCACACTCGCTCTGACGCTACCGACGCGCTTGTCGCTACTGACCCTGCCACGCCTTGTCATAATACCCTACTCGCTCCCGTCAATAAGCACCCATCATCATTCACCTCATTCACCTTCCATCGCACACGCTCTCAACGTCCAAGTTATCCCACTCGTCGAATACAACCAGCATCACCCGCCGCGATGAGGAAAGCGGCTGATGCAAAGACGCGGCGGGCATCGCCGCCGACGGCGTCATACATGTCCAATGACCAATTTGGTACGGGTCAACGACGCGCTACGCCTGCTTCACAAAACTTACCAGCTCTCGCAGCAAGCTATCTCTCCGAGCTCCGCGCCAACCGCACGACACGCCCTGGAGGAGCTCGGCCGTTACCGTCCCAGCTGAGCCGCGCCAGCACGGGGCGCTACAGCCTGGGTGGTGCATCCGCCCAAGACGCCGCCATCAACGACGCCAGCCACCAGCGCACGCCCTCGCAGGCCCCGAGCGTTGCCGCCGCCAGCATACGGTCCCGCCTCTCCACGTCGAGCGGCCGTGACTACTACCCGGCGACGCCAACTGCCCCGCTGAAGCCGTCCGACGTCGTGCCCACGAGAACATACATGGAACGCGGCCATAGATGGATGGAGAAGGAGGAGGCCGTCTCCCTGCGTGACGCCATGGAAGAAATGGACATCCGCAGTGGTGCACAGGACGGCTCCGGCTCCGGCTCCGGCTCCGGCTCGGACGACGAGACGAGACTCTACAACGCCGCTCTTGACGAAGCTGCCGAGCTCGTTTGGCAGCACCAAAACGGAGTCGTCCCACGTCCTCCTGACGGGCCATATCGCTATAGACCGCATCTTAGAAAGAACAGCTATGCGCATGCCCGTACGGCCAGCATCGGTGCAGATTCAGACGACATCGCCCCCAGTGGCCTCCGCCGGGACATGGGCTCGCGCTCAGTCTCTGGCAGCTCCACCGGCAGCGACGACTCCTCATACGCGCCTCGCCACTCTCTCGACTCGAACCAGTGCGCGGGCAACAGGAAGCAGAAACCCTACGGGAGCGTTGGCGCCCACAACCGTCGCACGAGCCTTAAGAGGAACATCAGCGGCGAAGTGGAGCGACCCTTTTCAGGCGACCAGATCTGGGAAGAGCCTGAGGTATCGGGCGGCAGCGAGGGCGTTGCGAGCGGGCGGGCGTCGCCAAACAAGTTGAGCAACAAGCCTCCGAATCCCGTCAGCTCCTCGCGATTCTTCCCATCTCGGGACGCCGCCGCGCAGGTCAAGCCGCTCAACCGAGTCGACATATACCGCAACCCTCCAACCCAGACTCGAAACGCTCAATACACCAGAAACACGCCCTCGCCGGGACCAGGACCGACTCCCGACCCCTCGGTGCCCCGCAAGAACGGCATGGAGGTCCGCAGCGACGACATCCGCGCAGCCACCAGCAGGCGGCTCAAGGACCGCAGCTCCAGGCTCCCGGAGCCGACCGCCGTCAGCGACAGTCCGGGGCGGCCCATTGTAAGCTTTGATGCGAACTGGAAAGCCCCGGACGAGTCCGCTGATAACAAAGCAGCCCAAGCTTCAACAGGCGACGCCCACGGCCGGGCCGGTAGGCCTATGGGTATCCCTACTGTCGCTGTGGAAGAGGAAGCTCCGCCGCGCTCACGGCAAGCGGCACGGCCGAGCGTTCCGTCAATCGCTGTAGCGGGCCCCGATGATGGCCTAGGTGTCTCTGTGCCGTCGATTAACGTGCCCAGCATCGCTGTGGACGAACTGAGCAGCGTTCCGGTGATCGTGACACCTGATGACAAGCCAGAGGGGAACAAGGCACGGCCGCTACCTCAGCCACGAGCTGCCGGACCGAAGGCCCGTGGCCTTCAGCGACCCCGCGGTCACTGGTCGCCTGCACCCGGGGCCATGGCTCGTTCAACAACGGCGTGTCACGAGTGTGGGTTCCCGATCGAGGGGCGGTTCGTGGCACTCGCGGGGTCGAAGGAGCGCTTCCACCCGCAGTGCTTCAGCTGCTTTATGTGCGGCACGGGCCTCGAGGCCATGGAGATCAGCCACGAGCCCGAGCACCTCCGCATGGAGAGGCTCGAGAGGATCCGTCGCCGCGCGGCCGGCGAGCAGCTGGAGGAGGTACCGGGTATGACGATGGAGGAGGACGGGGACGAGCGGCTGCGCTTCTACTGCCACCTCGACTGGCACGAGCTCTTCGCCCCGCGCTGCAAGCACTGCAAGACGCCCATCCTCGGCGAGCACATCGTTGCGCTCGGGGAGCACTGGCACTACGGGCACTTTTTCTGTGCCGAGTGCGGCGACCCCTTTGAGCACGGCATGACGCACATCGAGAAGGACGGCTACGCCTGGTGCATCAACTGTCAGACGAAGCGCACCGAGCGCCGGGCCCCTAAGTGCAAGAAATGCAAGGTGGCCGTCATAGGGCAGTACATCCAGGCGCTGGGCGGCGAGTGGCACGAGCACTGCTTCCGGTGCGCAGAGTGCCAGGGGGGTTTCGACGACGGGCAGATATTCCCCAAGGAGGTGCGAGGGGGAATGGTGGTGCTTTGCACGGCGTGTCGCACGCGAGACCTGAAGGCATGATTGTATGTGTTACTTGACTTATGGGACCAGGATCACGTTTGGCGTTGCTTCTTTTTGCTCTTTACATTAGCATGTTGGATTACGGTTTGTACAGGCGCGATATTGAATGGTATTCACGATTTGCTCGCTGGACAGCACAGGTTGGATGAAACGTCAAGTTTCACTCCCAACTTCATGCGGAATGAAATCAGACTCGCAAAGAACAGACAGGGGAGCTCAGTTTTTAGTCATGAAGTTCGTCTGTAAATTAATCCGCAAATCCAGCCTGCCACCGTTCTACCCTTTCCCAGCGCAAAAACGAGCCGACGGGGCCGTCTTTGGTCTTGCACGATATGCAGAGGAAGAGAGAGAAAGAGAGAGAGAGCACCAGTCGTAGAAGGTATTGTCCGCGCCGTCAAACGCCCCTGTGTAAACCATGTGTGTCTGCGCCGCGTAGCCCTGCCCACTCACTCCCCTACAACGCAGCAGCGCCGCCGACCTGTTCCTGATGCACCTCGAGCGTGTCGCCGTCGGCCATTTCAAGCTGTTTGGGCCGCGTCAGTCCATCGTTTCCGCGCAGTACGCGTTGGATAGCAAATGGGGGGCAAGGGCGGTAACACAGGAAAGGCAAGGGAGAGAGATGAGGAGCAAAAGACTTACAGCATCGGGCGTGTCTGTGGGCTGGACTCGGGAGCCGTCAAAGAGGAACCGCACCGAGGTGAGGCTCTTGCCCTGGCGCTCGCACCACGCGTTCATAAGCTTCTCGAGCTTGGTGCCGCGCTTGATCTTGAAGAAGACCTCGTTGTTGTTGTCCGTCACCTTGATGTTGAGGTGCTCGGAGCCGGCAGGCGCCTCCTGCTGCTGGTCGGGCGAGGGAACGCCGTCGTTTTCGGCCGACATTGTGTATGAAGAAGGCGGTTGTGGGCTTTCCCTTTCTCTTGGGGGGGATCTGTTCTCAACTCGTGCGCGGGCAGCGGGATGCCACGCTTGAGGGCGACGACAAGGAGGGGTTGCTGCGGTCGAGGAGTGCAGACGATGCGCGCGTGCGCGTATGTCTTGCAGAGTAGAGACGGCGAAGCGGCTGCGCAGGGCGGAGACGGGAGAAGGAAAGGGGGTCGCAAGACGCGAGAGCGACGAGACGACGAGTGGCGGGACGACGAGGTTGGTGGTCGATCGAGGTTTTGTAGGAGGCGAGTTGAGAGGCGAGTGATCGGAGTTTGGCTCAGTCAGGACCCGTCGTCTGGACGGGGCGTGGAAACGGAAGGAGAGAGAAGGTGGGGAGTGCGAGTGGTGATTGGTTGCGGCGGCGCAGGCAGAATGGATCAAGCGCGCGGGCGGCGCGGCTCCTCAGCGGTACGTTACCACCTGGGCAGCCTGGGAGTCAATGCAGATGCACTCGTGCTGGTGGCCTGCAGGGAACCGGCGCGCTGCGACGAGGGCCTGGTTAGTGACGGAGGTGCCTCCAGCTGTCTGCTGCCCGGGCACCTGGAGATGCGGTACGCCACGGTGCCTCCCTCTTCGGGCAGTGCCTGCTATACCCCTGGAGGGGCAGACCTGAGAACAGCGAGCTCGGACATGGAACCTCTTGGAAGTCCTTGAGGATGTATCGCACTCTGTGCCGGCACGTCCCAGCCGCCGTCTGAGTGTGCTCGAGGTCTTGACGACGCACCACTGTACAGTGTACCGCCTTCAATGCTCCCGGCTGGGCACCCGACAGCCTGGGGCCTAGGTACTATACCAGGTACCACCCAACAGCGCGGGTGGCTCCCCCTTGCACCCCAGCGCACGCTGGTGGTGCACAACGCTAACAGCCCAGCCACAACGAGCCCCAGCGAGTACGAGTACCTCAGCAACTTGGCCTCTGTGCCAGGCTCTGGACACGGAACGGAAGGGGCATGACATCAGCACACCGTGGTTGACGCCCACCAAGGCTATTCCAAGAAGCATGCAGCACACCTTGGCCAGGAACCTTTCACGAGCCCTCTCCAACATCGGCGAGCCTGGCAAGTAGAAGACGGACGGGCTGACCGCGCCAACACAGACCGGACCGACAATGGTTTGTCACCCACAGTTGCTCAGCAGACCACCACTCTCACCATGACTGACCAGGCCCAATCACCACCGAAAAACGATGTCGACGCAAAGCCGGCGTGTCATCCCCGTGCTGTGAGATGCTTCTACCCATTGACCCGAGCAACCCCTGCTGACAACGGATGGGGATGCCAGTGTGCCATCCAAGGTATGCAGTGGCTCAGGCGCCGCACTTGACGAGACCGCCCAAGGAGACTGACTGGCTTCGCAGACTGCTTGACGCGAAACAATTACAATGAGGCCAAGTGCCAGGACGCCGTCAAGGCTCTCTACGAGTGCTGCAACGCCTTTTACGAACGCTACGGCGACGACGCAAGCACGCCCAGCTGTCCCAAGCCCAGCCTGCTGCGCCTCAAGATGAAGCAGCAGAGCGAGGGCAGATAGACAGACAGGCATAGACAAATGCTAGCCGCCGCTTGAAATATCCCCATGAAACGCCCTGGTGTTAAGCAGGCAGGCATGTACCGCTCTCCGTGTTGCGTCCGCCGGCATCGCGTGAGCTCAGGCAACAGTAATGAAGAGCACCGTATCTTTCTTCTAGGCGATCATTGAGCGCGCAAAGAGGCCCTCGTGGGACCTGAACAAGCATTGAAGCGTCTTGTTCCGAGACTCTAATATGAATGCCGATGACATTATGTTGAAGAAGAGAAGAGAGAAAAAAGAGGCCGGCGAAAAATTGCACGAGCCCATGTAGGTCCCGCAGCCGGCGGTGCGCAAGACGCTTTGTTGCATATCGCTGTATGCGCGCACCCTTGCTTTGTACCTCCCGTTTTGGCACCTCCCGCGGGTACCTCCAGGCAACCGGGAAGCTCAAGCCACAGCACGCGCAGCCACACGCGGCCGATAGGACGGCTCCTGTGGCAGTTTGCATCCTGGCGGGAAAGCTCAAGCGCGCGCCGTTCGCTCTGCTCCAAAAAACAGTGCTGGGACATCAGTTCACCACCACCCGGCCCATCACCAACACGCGCCACGGGCCAGCATCACCGCAAACGCAGACGTCGACAGCGGTCGCACTACGAGTGGAACTTCTGCATCGGCTTGAGACACCCTGCTGGAGCAATCTTGGCCGGCTCTTGGGCACGCAGAGAGCGTCCCAGCTCCTGCCAAAGCCACGACTTTGACGGCCCAGCCTCGCCGGCAGCTTCGCCAACGCGCCCTGTCGTCCCCCGAGCCGTCCGCACGCACAGCCTTCAATCTATAGAGTCTGCGCGAGGACCTTGAGCCCCCGATCGGATCCGACGCCATGGAGCCAGAAAAGGACGACAATAAGACGCCGCCCGGCATCGTGCCGGGGCCCGAAGTCGAAGAGTTCGCCAACGCCCTCGACAGCTGCCTGGCTCCCGGCCTGAGCGTAGCCGACAAGAGGGCGCGTGTCCTAGACCTCCCCCGCAAATACCACGAAAACGCGATCCGAAGGTTGATACAAAAGAAGCCGCAGCGCCCGCGAGATGGCCAGGGTGATGTTGACATGGACGCCTATGAGCCCGTCCCCGCCGTCACAGACCCTGCGGACCTCAGCCAGATGCAGCAGCTGGAAAAAGAGGTGCAGACGTGGGACCTGGTCCGGAGGCTGCTTCCATTGAGGTACCCTGAATCTCGCCCGCAGAAAAAGTCACTGTTTTCCTCCGCCGGCCCGACGCAACCTGCGCCCGCGCGCTCGCTCGAGGAACTCGTCGATACCGACCCGATACTCAAGGAGCGACGTGCTGTTATCCAGTGGCTCCAGACGAACGCGTCTTCCGGCCCAGATATCGATGAGCTGGCGCGGGAGCTACAACAGAACGCCGACAGAGGAGACATCATCGCCCATGGCTGGCTACATACTCGGTCCACAATCAAGCACCGCAAGCGCCTGACGGCGTGGCCGCATCTCCTAGAGCGCCAGTCCGCCGACATTACCTCCTCACACGTCAACGCGGACGGCGCGCCGCTCGTTACCAACCTGGACCCTGATGCCACCACACGACAGGCTCGCAAGCTCGAATCCCAGGACGACTACTTTGAGCGCGCAATCTGGCTGGGCTGCTTCGAGCACCTCCGCCGGGGGAGCACGCTGGACACTATCCGGGATTGGTGCCAAGAACGGACAGAAATGTGGAGGGCGGTGTCAATGTCAGGCCTGCTGCTGCCTGTCGACGGAAGGGAGGCCTTGGCCGACGCATCTCCAGCCTCGATTGCTCTGTGGCGGCGCATGTGCCTCAGTCTGGCCCGCAACGGCGGTGCTGATGACTACGAGCGTGCCGTGTACGGCCTGCTGGCCGGAGACATCGCAAGTGTTGAGAAGGTGGCCAAGACCTGGGACGATTTCGTGTTTGCAAACTACAACGCACTGCTGCGGACACAGATCGACACCTTTCTGCTGGGGCAGTGTCCGCCGGACGTGGCATCTGGCATGACAAAGTCGTTCCCGTCATTCGACGCGATCCACTTTCACGGCGACCTCGACGGCCTCGAGAGACGCTTGATTGTATCCTTGGAGTCACAGAAAGCCACCATGGAGGAGGCGATGGAGCCCAACAAGGCTCTGCAGGCTTCGATGATCGCCAATGACATCGATCGCCACCTGTACGAGCAGGCGTTGGTGATGACCGACGATGCAAACAAGGATCAGCGGTCGCTTCTACTTCCCCGAACCCTTTCGGATGGGACCGCCATCACGCCGAGAAAATATTTTGGACTCGACCAACATGACGGCCTCAGAATAGTGGCCCACGTCTACGTGCTCATCGCTCTGATGCGCCACTTCGATGAACTGGAGGGCCGTACCCCCGACATTACAACCAACGCGCAATGGCACTATAGCCAAGAGAGCATCCTGGCGGCATACACTGAGTATCTCGGGCAGGCCAAGCTGGATGAGCTCATCCCACTGTACTGCTCGATCCTGGCGCCCCCTAGGCAGTATGAAGTTTTGAGCTGGAACATGATCCACGAGCAGGACCCGGAGAGACGTGTGACACAGCTCAAGCTCATCAAGCGCGTCGGCATCGATGTCCTCCAGTTCGTCGAGACGCTGGCCAAGCTGGTCTTCGAGGATCTCGGCGACCACAGCGGCGGCGAGACGCCCACGGAGCCGTTCAGCATCTTGATGGACGGACCACCTACGGCTCGACTGGGACGTGGCATCAAGGCCGACTTCTTTGGTGACGACGAGGCAGCCATCAGTATCAAGGAGGAGCATGCCGTTCGATCACTGGAGTGGCTGCTTCAAGTCCAGGTTGCATGGCCGGAGGTCCTTCGCATCGGCGTCCAGGTGTACAAGCACTTTTTCAGTACGTGTGTCCCGGCAACCTATTGGAGAACGCAATGAACTGACATGATTGAACAGAGCGAACGCATCTACTTGCGGCTCGAAAGCTGATGGAGCGCGTACAATTCGACTCGATCCTCCAAAACGTTACTGATCAGGAAATTACGGACTGGGCCACGCTCGACGACATTGACTTTTGGGCTCAGCAGCTCGAGGAGAGCGGGATAACGACGGCGACTCCCGAAGAAGTCATGACGAGTGCCCGCAACTACCGCGAGCTCGAGTGCCTCGCCAAGGCTCTCGACGGCCTAGAAACTCTAGGGTCGTTGATCGAGCTCTCCACCGAGTACGTGAAATGCCTAAAGAGCGTCAAACTTGCCGCTAACAATGTGTCTAGAGCACCAAGCGGAGATCGGCCCAAGTTTTGGACCGGGGTCGGCGAGGCTGTTGGGGTGATGAAGGAGAGAATGCAGCCCCTGCTGGGAGGATGGCTTCTGGCGAGCATCGAGGGTATGTGAAAGTGTCAATGCCTAGACATCAGCTGCTGACAAGACAACAGATGGCGACGAGGAGCTGGCACAGCTGAGGCAGGCCTACCTGCCGGAGACGATACTAGGCTTTGTGAGCGGGCTGCACTACGCCGGGACCGGTCTCTCGCGAGATCACCTGCTGGAGAGCATGGAGCTGGCGACCATCGTGGCGGAGCGCAACTCGGACCTGATGGGCGTCTTCGTCAAGGCAGGCAGGATGACGGAGCTGGTGGAGGCGTTTGCGGCGTGCAGCAAGGCGCTGGCCGTGGCGACGGGAGAGAAGAGGGCGACTGGCTCGAGTAGCAAGAAGCTGCGGGCAATGGGCTGGTCGCGGGACCTGTGGGCCATCAAGCAGTAATCTGCGGGAGGAGTTGGCATCAGTCCCGACTTTGTTTGATTCTGTGTACAATGAACCGGCAAGGGCGAAAGGGAGTGCAGGGAGCGTCTCGAGTTATACGAGTACAGACAGGCAGGGCGGAGACCAGCATCGGTGGGCGCATACAGTGGACGAGATACCCACGCGCGCAGGTAGACAGCCAAATAAATCAAAGCATGGAGCAAGCAGTCTTGGGTCTGTCTGCGTGTTTGACAGCTGATGGACGTGGGCGAGAGCTGCCCCGAGGACTTACAGAGTGTCGTCGGTCTCGGTGAAGCCACCCGGGAGCCGGTGAGCGGGGACCCACCCCCACACTCGCGCGCGGCCGGGATTGACGCACCATGTGCACCGCGCAAGCTCCCCCAAGCTCCACCAAGCCGTCGTCCAACTCTCAACCCTCAACTTCACGTCTTCCTCCTCCATCCCGCCTCTTCCTCTGACAACACCCAACGTCGCCGGACTACAACGACATCGCATCGTCTTGCGCCGGCTACCAACACAACCCGGCGCAATGGCGAGCTTCTCGCCCGAAGCGCACCACCGCCTCTCGGCAGCCGGCGCCGTCGTCGCGCAAGCCACGCCACCGGCGCCGCCGCCCAAGCCCGGCAGCCACGAGACGAGCCGCATGGGCACGCCGTCTAGTGGGCCGCCTCTGCCTCCTCCGCCGCCGTCATCGCAGCAGCAGCAGCAGCAGCAGCAGCAGCAGGGACAGCAGGGACAGATGGCCGGGGGCGGGCAGCAGGGCTACGCGGCGGCGGCGGGGGGAGCGGACGACGGATTGTTGGGCGACGTGCCGTTCCCGCAGTCGGACGTCGGGCCAGACCCGGGGGATGGGTGGCTGCCGAGCATGCTGCAGGACAAGTCGTGAGGAACCCCCTCTCCGTGCCCAATTCTCTCTCGTCTTCAAACTAGGTGATCGCTGACCGCGTTGGACCACAACCACAGAACCCAGGACCTCGCCGCGCTGCTCGCCTCGCCCCAGCTCCTGAGTGGCCTCACCCACTCCCCCTCGACGGCACACCCCACGCTCGCCGCCTCCCACGCCGACCTCTCCCTCGCCCTCGCGCAAAACGCCCGCCTCGCGTCCCACCTGCAGATGCTCGCGTCGCACCTCGCGCGCCAGCGCTCCGCCACCCAGGCCCAGCTGCTGGCCACGCACGCGCTCGAGCGCCAGTGGCGCCAGCGCCAGTCCGACATGGACCACGCGCTCGCACCCTTTTCCCCCGCGAGCCTGTACCAGCGTCTCGCGCAGGGCGTGCAGGAGCAGGGCAACGTGTGCCTCGCCATGGAGGAGAGCTTCCTCGAAGGCGGCGGAGGCGGCGCGGATGGCGCTGGTGTGGGTGTGGGTGCGGGTGGTGGTGGTGATGCTGCGGGAGGGGGCCCGGCGTCGGAGCGCGAGGTGGCGGATTGGGTGCGCAGGTATAGGGAGGCGAGGGTCGAGTTTTATCTGCGGCAGGAGAGGAAGGAGAGGTGGGATGAGGGCCGCGTGGGAGGCTGGAGGTGATGCAGATGGGCGACCTGTGGCTCTGTTGAAGAAGCGACTACTAATGACGATACGAATGACCTCGATGGGATCAGACGCGACGAGTGTTTCTGGCACCCGAACAGGCATGACGCACGAGACGCTGGACAGGACGCAAGACGGCAGGATCAAGCCGCACCAACGATGAAACGAGGGCTTCGAGGGATCAATCATCCTCCGCCGGCAGTCCAAGTCTAGCTGCGGCATCAATAGATTCCAAGCATTGGGGGACGGATATCCTCCAGCTGTATATACATATATGACCTCCGCTACCTCGACAACTATGTGCTTCTTCGTGCTCGTCTCGTCTTTTTTCTCGTGCCATCGTTAAGAAATACTGCGCGCCGTGCCATGTGGGATATCTGGCGGCCTGTATGTGCTCAGAAACAACCGCGCCCCTCCACCCTGGTCGAGGCGCTCTCTTCCGTCTAAATAAACGTGTGGAAGGACAGCTGCGCGCCCGCAATGGGATGAACCCGACCCCCAGACCCGTCATCTTCAATAGTCACGACGCCGACACACACAGACTTGCACAAGCCTGGCTGGTCACTGTCACGCCTTTCGTTGGACGAGCCGGTCTTGTCTGGCCACTCGATGGGGCCTCATAGGATGCTAAAGGGGCTCTTCTTCATGTCGGGGCTCCTGGGGCTGATGGGGAGAGCGAAGAGGTCGTCCTCCCCGTCCCCAGGGCCAACATGCGGCGGCGGCAAGACACCCTTGACAGCTGCGTCGAGGGACACTGCCGCAGCGTGGCCGTTGCCGTTTCCGTTTCCGCGGGCTATGGCCGAGAAGGACGGGACGGCGACGTCGCCGGTCTGGGGCAACAGTGTGTGGGACATCACACCGGCGCCGGTAAACGTATTGGCTAGTAAGGCAGTCGTGGTTAGTTCGCGCACAACAAGACCCGCTCGGAAGTCGCCCTGATGAGGCGGTGGCACAAACCTGTCGGGCTAGGGACTAGGTCGGCAGCAGATGTGGCCAGCTTGAGGCCCTTGAGCTTGTCTCCCAACCGTCCCGGTACAGGTGATCGCGGAGACAGTGGCACCGTCGACGACGGCGGCGGCGAGGGGCGGAAGAAGTTGTCGACTATCCACTTCTTCTCGGCCAAGGCCATCTCGAGCCCGACGCTCTCCGCGTTGGCTCTGAGCTCGGCTTCCATCTCGCGTTCCAGCTCGGATAGGCGCTTCTTGGCCCACAAGGTGTGAAGCACGCCTCTGGCCCCGGCATCCGCGTCGAAGCCCTCCGGGAAGATGGCGGGGAGCGGTTTGACTACCAAGCTTGGTCGGCCGGGTCGGGCGATGGTGACGGCCGGCGGGATGGGAGCCTCCTGAGGCAGGAGGAAGTAGACGCGGCGACAGGCGCCGGTTACGTCCTGGTCGGTGTCACGGGCGGGCAGGACGGTCGACTTCCCGGGCCACGACACCTCCCAGGCGGCGGCCGAGTCCAGGGCCGGGCGGTCCAGCCGGTGCGGAGGGGTCGAGGCCGGGTCCGGGTCGGGTTTGGGGGCCGCGGCGGGTCGAGGGCTGCTATCGGGCCGGGCAACAGAGGCAGCAGAGGCAGCAGCGTCGCCAGGATGCCACTCGACCATGAGTATCTTGGTGCCCTGCTCGCTAAACTCAAATCTGGCAAGGTGAGACGCCGCCATCGCCTCGGCATCGGTGGGCGCTGCGTCCGCCGGCGGTGGCCGAGGAGGCTCCGACGAGGGATCCATGGTGGGCTGGCTGGCTGGCTGGCTTTTCGGCTGCCGCTCGGGGTAGCAGTGCGGGTAGCAGTGGCAGTCGCAGCAGCAGTTGCAGCAGCAGCGCGGCGGCGAGGGCGGGAGGGGGTGGGAATTCCTGCTCAGGGGTGAGATGGACGGCGAGGCATGGCGGCGCCAGCAAGGCGGGTGTGGGTTTCGCTGCGTCAAAGTTGGACTCGGTTGAATCACGTCAGACCGAGATTGTTGTGATAGGGGGAAGGTTTGCCTTCGACGAGGATGCGAATGTAGTGCCCCTCATCAGCTCCTCTGGGCTCTGGGCACGCAGACACGCACGCACGCGCGGCGGCGGCGGCGGCGCGTGGGGGGGAAGGGAGGGAGGGATGCTTGATGACGGGACGCGGGCATGTAGAAGCACCGAGTCTTGAGCGACGGCGCCCCTTGTGATTGGAGAGCATGCGCCTGGGCGGGCGGAGTTTGGGGGGGACCCTGGCTTGGTGGTGGTGGTTGATTGATTGCTTCGGTCGTGGATTGACACGGAGTACTACGGGCAGAGCATTGCAACCAGGCAGCGGTGGTGGCCGTGCAGCTTGGGGATCGGTTTTTTTTTTTTGCTTCTTCTTCGTGCGAGTTGCATGCGCAAGGATGTACTCAAGGTCAGGTATACGCGTACAAACTGTGCGTGTAGAATGTACGGGTGTACTTTGTTTGTCCAGGAAGCTGATGCGGGGTCGAGACGGAACATGCAGTAATAACCACACGCGCTCCTTCCTGTACGGACTTGGCCAAGAGCAGTCCGCAAGGTAAGGCAAGGAAGGCATCAAGGGCGGTCCTGAGCTGTCCTGAGCTAGCACTGACTTGGGCCTCTGAGGACTGCATGACCAGCATCATCGAAATGACCGTCTCCATCTCTCCCTTGGCCGCGTCGTGAGTGAGGCCGAGTCGCCAGCTTCAGGTCCATCTCGAAGCTACCTATCTCACCAGCCCATCACCTATTTTTGGATCGAAGCCTCCTTCCCTGCCTGAATGTACGTACCTTGCTACCGCCACGTCCCGCTGGATCCTTCTCTGCTGACATGAGGGACGGGAGGCAGGCAGGGTGGCGCAGATTGTCTTTGAGCACTGGGCACGCAAGCCGCTTTGCTTCGGCGCACCTCCACCTACCACGGCCCCCGGTCCGGACCCCCCGTCAAGCTCAATCCGGCCGGTGGCTGCACGACAAGCTTGCTCGAAACATGTTCACGCAGCTCGTCACGTGAGGACAACTTGATGCCCTCCTCGTCGACGACGCCCGAGATAAGGTGCCGGGAAGCCTTCCGCGTTGCGGGACCCCCGGGGGCGCAGGCTTTTGTCTTCCATCAATGCGATGCGACTCACCACCGCTGTGCGCCGTGAAAAGGTAAAAAAGGTTGCAGCATTATCGGCCGCGGCGGGCAGCCGAGTGGACCCGGCCCCGTCTGCGATGGCTCCTTGGAAGCGCCGAGCATGTCGCCGGATAGGCTTCGGCGGGCCGGGAGCAGGGCTGTAGATTGCGAAATTGGCGCCGCCTGGGCGTTGGGACAAGGCTGTTGTCCTGCGCGGCTTGTTGGTGTTGTTGCTGCTGCTGCTGCTGCTGCTGCTGCTGCTGCCGATGTTGCTCTTGCGAACGAGCCGAGCGGCTCTGCCGTGCATCGGGCCATCAGATCGATTCGGCCCTACGCATGGAGGGTCTTGGTGGTCTGTGCCCTGCCCGGCCCGGGCTGGATGAAGCGTGGGCGTCGCGGCCATGGTGTAACCGCCCGGTACTCTATCCGTACTCCGTCCTCGTCCATGCATACCTCACCTAGCAGTATCTATTATGTATGACCCGTCGATAACAAGGCCGCGCCGCCGAGGTGATTCCATTCGCCCCAACAGCTTCCCGCGTGCGACCAAGAATCATTTACGTACTGTACGTGCGAGCAGTTGTCCCCAGCTGGGCGGCATGATGAACTCAGCCGAGCTGCAGCATGCAGGTCTTCTGACCCCGTCCCCCCAAGCACGCCTCCTCCAATTTACGTACGTAGATACATACTTGCGCACGTGTACAAGTGCTCGTAGGGCCGTCATTTCCGCACGGGCCATGCGGCGAGTATCTGATGTTGGCCCGTGTGTCCAGACGTGACCTGGGCGAGAATGTTGCGCATACTCGCATCTCGCCGCCCGCCCACGTACATGCGTAGCACGTACGTACACGCACACTTACATACATACGGGGACACGCTCGTGTCCGTCCTGCCTCGCATCTGACCTCGACCGGACCTCTCTCCCCTTGCAGGAAGCCTTGGGCATCAGATGAGCGGAGGGCCGAGCAGGCGCATGCGTAGGCACAGCCGCGAGACAATCAAGAGACATGGGGCTCCGGCCAAGCGGCATCGCCCCGTCGGACGACGGCGTCATCTGCCTCGGGCCCCGGTCAAAGTGCGATACTACAGACAGATCGCGGGCCGTACATCGTACAACGCTCTGTGCAACACGTGCGAGCGCCCGGGTAAGTGGCGCCTCCATGCCACAAACCCTGAGTGACAGTTGCTTCCGCCACGAGGGGGAGCAAGCGTGGCATCTCGGCGTCTTCGGTGCATGTCGCTGCGGCGTCCTTGGCGTCATTTGCATATACTGCATCATATCGATGCGTGACAGCGACTTTGAGCCGGCCTCGACCGGGCCCTTCGGCTAGCACGCAGTCGTTGCAACCGCCGAGTCGGCGAGAATCCTTGTCCTCCCAGCAACACACATACAGATACTGTACATGAGAGTACAGTAGTGTGCAGTACACCGGCGGCGTGGCCTTGTCGAGAGTTGTTTCATCAAAGGCACCCGCGTGGTCACGCAGCATTTTAGGTTACGTTTCTCCTGAGCATCGCCGAGAGGGGGCCCAGCAGCGGTGGCATCAGCCAGATATCCGTCGTGAGCCTAAGTCGGCACCGCCGGTTGACCCGGAACACGATGCTGGGGAGATGGGCATCATACATCGCTTGTACCCAACTCGAAGCAGGCCGGTACTCACTCGTGCGGCACTTGCGCGTATCTCTCGGCTTCTTTGTCCACCCCAGCACCTGAGCTGAGGCAGCCAGGAAGCAGTTGCCAGCTCGCAGCCTCGTGCTCCTTCCCGCACGTACCATACCTTACTGACCGGCCGGCGTCCACGTGAACGTGCGAGTACGTACGAGCATGCAAGCAAACGAGGAGAGGAGGCACGCGGGGTCGCGGTTCCTCCCCGCGGTGACCCATGCAGAGAACGGAAGGAGTGACCAAGGCGTCGTCGTGTCAGTTGAGGTTCGGGCAGGAGCGGGACAAGCTTGCTGCCATGTACTGTACTGTACCAGGGCCACCTCACTCACTCGCCCAAGTACGTGTCCCTTCGTACAGTGTGCTGTACGGTGAACCTTTGCAACGTGAAAGTTCGACGCCGGGCTCGACGAGGCAGGCGGGCGGACCCTGATTCCATCCAGGTTGTCGGCCCGGCTGACGCGACAGTGTGCGTACGACGTCGACGAGACGGGTCTCGTCAAGATGGACGCAGCGACCGGCGACCACCGACCGCCCAAAGTCTAATTCTTGAGGCCTCGTGGCCGCCGAGGAATGGTCAAGCGAGTGTGACTTGACCGACCGGGCCCAGCTTTCATCATACGAGCACGCCGTCTCGTGCTTTTGTCCTCGGCGCAGGGGGCATCTCGCCGCGGCTCACCGATGCCATGGATGTCATGGCAGTTGGCAGATGCGCCCGACGGCAGGGGCATGAATGTGAGAGCTCCCCTCGCGGCGCCGCGGCAAGCCTCCGAGGATAGCGAGAAACGGGGCCCCGTTTGTCCTCCGTCCTGGTACAGTACGTGTACGTACGGCACTCGACCCTATGTCGGCCCGGCAGGAGGTGGTTGAGCTGGGCAGGCGGCCAAGCCAAGCGGCAGATGCGACACGAGCAGGGCGTGCGTGCTTGGACTAGCTGTCACCGGGGAGCGGTCGAGCCGCAGCCCTCGCAGCCGCCGTCGGCAGTTTCGAGCCATGCCAGCGGCAGCGGCAGCCGTGCTTCGGCCGGGACATGGCGGTGGTGGCCATACGAGTTGATTGATGATGTCGATCTGCGAATGTGCCGACGTGCCCGTCCGTGTGCCGTCCGGCCGTCTCGCATGCGTTTAAGACGGGACGCGATGACAGCAGCTTGCGTCAAAGCAGACAAGGGAAGAGGTGGACGCCCGTCCGGTGGGTGTCGCGGATCGGCGTCGACGACACTCGGCGACAGAACGACCGGAGTAGCGCCGTGGTGTGGCTTCCCGCGTTTGCGTTTGCCTTTGCGTTTGTGCGTGCGTGCGTGCAGGCCCCCCTTCCCCTCGCTGCCCTGCTGCAACCGCCTCCATTTTAGCTACTGGTACCGTGTCATGTCTCGCAGTTCGACTGCGCCGCAGTCGATCACCGTTTGCAATGGCCGTCTTGCGGCCGATGGGAGCGGCGACGCGAGTACGAGCGCAGCCCGAGGGCCACGGCCACCATCTTTAATTTTTCAGGCCGGCGCTGTGGTCTGGACTCTGGACCACCTGTGGCTCAAGCTTGCCTGTGCCTGCCAAGCTTCTCCCCGCCATTTGAGAGTGCGACATTGGGGGGAATGATTCGACAGTTGAAGTGCCGGGAGACAACTCAGTCAGGGCGGCGCGCTGAAACGCAACGTGCAAAGCGTTGTTCTGTTTGGGCCGCTTCCCCGGCCGTTGATGCTGCCGCAACTGTCGCCGAGCTCACTTTGGCATCTGCCATCTTCCTCGTATCGACGCGCTGGCACTGCAGTCCCGGGACACGTCTCAACGGCCGTGTCTAGCGGGCAACGATGATGCGGCCGAGACAGCCGCAGGAACAGCGCCCCCCGTGATGGTACGTCGTGTCTTGGATGCTTGGACGGTGTTTTGGGGGTCAGGTGCGATTGACCACTGAGGCGCGACGATCGCGATACGGTGATGCAATAACGCCAGGCGGCCGGTAACCTAACGTTTGGGAATCCTTCCGTCGGTTACGGACGCGAAACTGGACTGTGCAGGGCAGTAACAAACCGACTGTACGGCACAGTTGCGCGCCGTACGGGCATCTCACCGCGGCCCCCTTTCGGCTAAATCCCAGGTCCTCGTGGCCAGCCATCAGCAGCCATGCTCTGGCCAAGCCGGGGATCTGGCATCGTGTGGAGGCTGCGGCGGCCCTACTGTGCGGGCCGCCCATTGCGTGGGTTCGCCGCCGGGGGCGTCGACGATGGAGATGGAGCGTGGCAGAAGACTGGGGCCTGGGCTTGCGCCCTCGTCTGGGGTCGGCTCCAGACCCGGAAACGCCGTGTGCGTGGTGAGAGCGTCGTGTGGTCGACTGGATGACTGGCTGTCTGGATGGCCGGGGCGGCAGAGAGTTGGGCCTGGCCTGTCAGGGTCAGGCAAGGCGCCCCCTCCCCTGTGAGGTGAGGGTGAGGCCAGGCCGTGGCTGGCTGCAGAACCGCGGCGACGAACGACGAAGCACACGATAGCCTGATGGCGCTGGTCTGCTTTGGGAGATTCCGCAAATGAGGCCGAGCCCAATCTTTTTGGGGTGGGAGCATGGCAACAGTGCGGCCCCACCGCCCGCACCGTGACTATCTCGGGGCGACTGGCACCCTGCGCTGCCCGTTGCGTCGCCAAGGGGAGATGGGGGAGAGTCTGCAGCACCCACCTGCCCACTGGACCGACCCGTGGGGGGACGCGGTACCTGCGCGGGCGCGGGGCGAGAGCGCGCGGCGCCAGGTACCCCGGCCCGACGACGCCGCCGCTGTCAGGCAGGTGGCCACTGAAGAGTGGCTTCGCCCACCGGGTCCCGGGACGACCTCGGGCGCTGAAACCCGAGCCGAACGCTTTCAATGGGGCGCCGCGCCCCCCCTGTCCTCCCATCCCCTCCCCTCCCTGCCGCCGCAGTTCCTCTGCCTCGACAGTGGGCATCCCCGGGGCAGGCACTGGCGCAATCGCAATCGCAGACGTCTGGAGGAGCCCTCCAGGCTGTACCCCAGTGGGCCGCCCCCAGAGTCGCAGGCCCCGTCCGCCCGTCCCCTTG